AAAAAAAAAAAAAAGAGAGATCCTCTGGCCTCAGCCTCCTGAGTAGCTGGGACTACAGGCACCCACACAATGCCAGGCTATTTTTTGTTGCAGCTATCATTGCTGTTTAGCTGGCCCAGGCTGAGTTTGAACCCACCAACCTCAGTGTATGTGGCTATGGGTCCCGTGCTATGGGTCCCAAGCCTTTATTATAATTTAATGATTATTACCAGTGCTTCTCAAATACTACTGGGTGCAAAAATCATCTAGACAACCTGTTAATAACAATATAGTGTGCCAGAACTTCACACCTAGCAATTACTTCAATAAGGCTAAAGTTAATCAACCCACGGATTATGCTTGGAGATGCACTTATATAGAACAAAGATGTCTGTAGATCATGGGGAAAGTGATAAGAAATAGAGAGAGCTTGGGAAAAAAGCAGATGAAGAAACACAAAGGGACATTCCTGCCTTGTTAAAAAATGATAAAGTTGTAGTAATCACATTTCATATGTCTATGCTGACAATGATAGCACTGAACATTCAGATCCAATGATATCATAGTGCACATCTATGATATTCTTGAGTGATATGAAATTCCAAACTTTCTAAAAAGGAAAGCAAAATGCATATTGACCTGATGTCAAGTCATCAACAGTTTAAAACCTTTGATGTAGGAAGAATGACTTAATCATATGATGACACTAATTATAACAGTATGCATGAAAAGTTTAAAATATGAGTCTGAAGTTATTTGAAGATAGGATCCTTGGTGGTCTTCTTCCTAAGGGAGTAATATGAACAGTTATAAACCCAACAATGCATTTTCCTGCAAATCACACACACAAATATAAGACGACAACAAAGCATTGATCTAATCTTTGGGAGCCTCCAGCATTTTTATTCAAGCAACTTAGTCTCTATGAAAACTGTTCTTCAGTTTGCACTTTGAAAGATGTCCCTGCCAATGACTTTATCCCATGTATGTAAGTGCTACCAAAAAGAGTAATAAATGACGTACAGACCTTCAATACATTATGTTCAGCTTCTTCCCCTGTTAGAACATCAATTTTCTCCAGCAAACATCTTCGTGGTGGTTGGGAAGAGAAGGCAGCAGCTGATTCAATTAGGGATGTATTTTTAATAGAGTTTGTTCCTAACAGAAAATGGAGGAAAAATACATAAAAGACCCCATTTTCTCTACTGAGAATATTCTTTGTTGCCCCAACACATGTCTGCTTGGATTTTTATAGTAATAAGTGTTTCCAAAAATTCAAAGTGCTTGAGTTTGGGTAAAATCTCTTCATCGATTCCTCCATAGCATTGAATCAAAAGAAATGTAAAGTTATATCAGGTAACCATATTTATATGCTTTAATCTTTACCCAAAATTTTTGAAATGCTAGATTTTTTAAATTTTATAGATATTAAATGACATGAAAAACAGGAGACAAACAGGTCAAATCAAATGTTTTACAAATGAAATAATTCTTACTTGAATTCAAAGAGTTGATAGGAAGTTTTGGAGTGGATTTAAATGGTTTTTCCTTGGCATATGAATCATTTTCAGACTGAGCCTGGATGAGTTTTTGAGTGTCCTAGGAGGGGGGAAAGATGCCTTAGTTAATTTTATCCCTATATATCTGCAGTAAGCCAAATGATACTTTTGTTCTAGCTCAACCCAGCAAGCAGACTCAGCTGCTATATTTTTGTTTAGGATTCCTGATGTGCTGAACAAGGAACCCTTCCTTATTGTTAGAAGGCCTTGGTTCTAATCCTCAGAAAACATAATTTAGTTACAACCAGCCTACTTCAGGCAGGATCTAGTCCTGAGGGCAAAAGGAAAAGTTCAACTGGTACAAGAGAACATAGCAACTGTTCCATACCCCTACTAGGCTAATTTGATACCCAGGAGGTGCAACTATCATTTCTGTGTCTAGGTATTTTAGTAGTCTCAGAAATTCATTCTTGCTATCCAAGCCATGGAAAAAGAACAAAAAAGTTATACAGAGACCCCTCTAGATATTTCAGAGAACATATTTATAGAAAAAAATTCTAACTTTTCCTCTAAGTCAATTTTTGCCTACCATCACTTTCAAAGCTCCATACTTGGGTCTCAGGGCAGCCGTTATAATCAAAGCCTGCATGAAAAAACCTGAGGATTTGCCATACCTTTTATGATAATATATATCCCCAACAGAACAGAGAGAATTGGGACTTAAGAATTCATGTTTATGTCTTTTCCCTCATCGACTCAAGATTCTTCCACATTATTTAATTGGATATCAAGATATTCTCTTACAATTGGTAGAGAGGGGTGTAATTATTCCCATTTTAAGAAAATAGAAACTAAGGCATAGAAAGTTTAAATGATTTACTCTAAATGCATATGGTTAGCCAACAAGCCAGGATGACATCCTGGTCCCCTAGTCAAGGCCACATGTTTA